TTAAAAGTTTTAAAAGTCAAAATCTTAATGAGAGATAAATAAAAACACAAAACAAAACATGTTTCCCAAATTCAAATATTGACAGTCTTGTTTCATTTGCTAAAACAAATATTAAACTAATCTTATTAAGCTATGAAATGTTGTTTATAAATTGTTATTATTATTACAGAATACGTATATTGCGCCTCTTCACATCCCGTGATCGGGGGCACTTTACAAAGTGACGATATACTCACCAAAAAGAAAATAAGTAAAACAAAAGAGTTGTATATAGAGAGTCAGTTAAAAGCTTGTTTGAATAAACGGGTTTGAAGTTGTTGTTTTTTTTTATAGAATATAGAGATTATAAAACAGAAGCTTGAAGTTAAAGGAGGGTTGGCCATAAGAGATCGTGACTCAATGAGGAAGAGGTTGGGTCAATAACTTGGCAGGGTGGTTAACCGCTGGCGCTATAAATAAGGTTTGCAAGTGAATCAGGTGACGTGGTTTCCATTTCTCGCTTGTACGTGATGCAGGACGGAGGACCTGGCAATGACAGCTGTCTAGTTGTTCGGATGGGACTAAAAACAGAGGTCCCGTGTACACATTGGCGTGCTCGTAAAAGATCCCTTGGCAGTTGGAATTCGATATAAGAGTAAGCTATAGTACCGTGTCCGGACAAAATTCCCCTCATAGCACACTGCATGTTAAACCCCATTTCATTTCATTTCATTTCAACTGCCCGACCTCATGGGGTTTTCCCGGTTGTCATCCATTATTAAAGAACCATGCGCCAGCCCCTTCTTTCACTAACCAGGAGATACAGACAGGGTTCGAGAGTTCTCCTTATTTCCGAATCACAAGCAATAATTCATGTAGTTAGCTTTCTGCTATATATATTGCACGGACCTCAGTGAATCGCCGGGGTTACCGACCGTACAATTATTTGATGTAAAAAATAGTTTGATATAAATATAATTTTATTATCGTGACAATCATGTATTAGGTATTGAGGTGTTATTGGGTGGTATTTGGTGGTATTGGGTAGTATTGGGTAGTATTGGGTAAATCGTCCCACCCTAAAAGATAGCTTAATATCAATATAATTTTATTATCGTGAGAACCATGTATTGGGCATTGAGGTGGTATTGGGTGGTATTGGGTAGTATTGGGTAGTATTGGGTAAATCGTCCCACCCTAAAAGATAGCTTAATATCAATATAATTCTATTATCGTGACAACCATGTATTGGGCATTGAGGTGGTATTGGGTGGTATTGGGTAGTATTGGGTAAATCGTCCCACCCTAAAAGATAGCTTAATATCAATATAATTCTATTATCGTGACAACCATGTATTGGGCATTGAGGTGGTATTGGGTGGTATTGGGTGGTATTGGGTAGTATTGGGTAAATCGTCCCACTCTAAAAGATAGCTTAATATCAATATAATTCTATTATCGTGACAACCATGTATTGGGCATTGAGGTGGTATTGGGTGGTATTGGGTAGTATTGGGTAAATCGTCCCACCCTAAAAGATAGCTTAATATCAATATAATTCTATTATCGTGACAACCATGTATTGGGCATTGAGGTGGTATTGGGTGGTATTGGGTGGTATTGGGTAGTATTGGGTAAATCGTCCCACTCTAAAAGATAGCTTAATATCAATATAATTCTATTATCGTGACAACCATGTATTGGGCATTGAGGTGGTATTGGGTGGTATTGGGTGGTATTGGGTAGTATTGGGTAAATCGTCCCACTCTAAAAGATAGCTTAATATCAATATAATTTTATTATCGTGACAAACATGTATTTATTTTATTTAATGATTGTTAAAAATGCATCAAACAATCTGATATTTGTTTCGTAAATATAAAAGTTCACAATCTAAACGTAACAATGTTTATCCAGTAGACGTGGTACAAGGGTTAATCAGCGAACTGGATGTATGAGATGTGTTGTTGATGTTTGGGAAAGTAGGACGAGGGGAAATGTGTAGGGAGTGAAGTGCTGTAAAGGGATAGTTAGATGTATTATGAATGGTTAGAGTGGCTGTGGTGTTACGGTGAAATACTATGCCGCCACCGTAACACCACAGCTTTATGATTTGTTAGACAGGAGTGATGTAATGGGTGTCAACAACTGGGTATGCTGGTACCGTCGCAACGTAGCCGTGAAATATATATTGTGGGGGGGAAGGGCGGAAACGGAAAAATATACAATGTTGACAGTATGTGCCAGGCATGAGGCTGCGCAGACCGAGCGGCAGCTCGATAGGGAGTGTGAGGGAGGGTCACCCTCATAAAAAAATTTTTTTTTAAATTTCAGTTTTCTGTAAGCAGTGAAAACACTATTTTGGCATTGTTAGCGGGGTTAAACCTAAAAATCACATTAATACACCTATTGCACGATATTGTGAAACTAGCTGACGAAGACAGCTCGGGCGGCGATTGTTCGACTCGGGGCTGCTCTGTCAGTATCTAACAAACGCATTTAGTTCGCGTACAACTTTTAAAAACCGAATGTCAGTATGGTATTTCTCACATAATTGGTTATCGCAAAAACAGAGTAAACTGAAAGCGAGTAATCTCGACTCAAACCTATAGTCTATAGCCTACTAACTACACTCGTCACTAGGCTTCCTATATTATTGTTTGTGGACGGTTTACTACTCAGTGATAAGCCTGCGCCGCAAAAAGAGGTCTCCCCTTTTATTATTAGTATAATGACTTCCTCATGTGCGGCAGGTTAGTTTGCTTCTAAAAACACTGTTTTCCGTTCCAAAAAATACAAAAGTAATTTTCTACCAGATGACCATGGTTCTTTTCACCGAGACTAGATAATTTCTCTCGGTGTAAGGATATAGCTATGGATAAGTTCATACAAGGTCAATAAATCCGCGGTCACTTCGGGTCACACTGTTGAGAAAATAAACCGATGGGTTTGTTTAGTAGCAAATCGAGCGTGAATCAACTGAGTTTGTACTGAAAAATTTTTGAGTGATATGTATGAACTGTCTTCACACATTCGGTTTATAATTAGCGATACACAGGTACAGTGGCAAGTGTTGTACTTCACAGACTGTTTTCCTCCGAACTACCTCCGCACGAAATCCCCGATTTGGGTACTTGTTAAAAGAAAAAGAAATAGTACCTGTGCGCATGCCAGTAAAAAAAACCTAAGAGTTCGCGCATAAAAATGCCCGAACGTACCAGGCGCCAGGTCATCTAGCATCATAATTTCAACGATTTTATGAATTCATGAAAGTTTCTAAGTAGTGTGTAGGTGTAGATAGCAGTCATCTAGAAGAGAGGGCGGACCAGATGAAAGTTTCTAAGTACTGTGTAGATGTTGAGAGGTATCATCTAGAAGAGAGAGTGGACCAGATGAAAGTTTCTAAGTACTGTGTAGAGAGGAATCATCTAGAAGAGAGGGCGGACCAGATGAAAGTTTCTAAGTACTGTGTAGATGTAGATAGCAATCATCTAGAAGAGAGGGCGGACCAGATGGAAGTTTCTAAGTACTGTGTAGATGTTGAGAGGTATCATCTAGAAGAGAGAGCGGACCAGATGGAAGTTTCTAAGTACTGTGTAGATGTTGAGAGGAATCATGTAGAAGAGAGAGCGGACCAGATGGAAGTTTCTAAGTACTGTGTAGATGTTGAGAGGTATCATCTAGAAGAGAGAGCGGACCAGATGGAAGTTTCTAAGTACTGTGCAGATGTAGATAGCAATCATGTAGAAGAGAGGGCGGACTAGATGAAAGTTTCTAAGTACTGTGTAGAGAGGAATCATGTAGAAGAGAGGGCGGACCAGATGGAAGTTTCTAAGTACTGTGTAGATGTAGATAGCAATCATCTAGAAGAGAGAGCGGACCAGATTTAGGACGGTTCAATAGCAGTGTCGTTCAACAAAACCGGAATTGAAACCTTAGAAATCTAGTAGGCCAGCTAATACGTCACAATGAATACTTGTAATATGAAAATAATAAATTCTCTTCTATATATCTACGCGTTTCTTACATATTAACAGAGAGAATGCGAGAAATGGGGTTTAACGTCCACTCGACACAAACTAGGTCATTTCGGGCACTTGCGCGCCGGGGTTTGTAGCAGTGGGAGGAAACCGGAGGACCCTGAGAAAACCCACGAAGTTTGACAGGCAACCCTACTCCTTGTCACTAACAACCGGGGAATCGAAACCACACCAGAGAAAACCCACGAGGTTGGACAGGCGACCCTACGTCTTGTAACGTACAACTGGTGAATCGAAACCACGCCAGTTGACTCAATGACAGACCTTATGATACAACGCGCACGCGCTGACCATTCGGCCAACCAATAGGTTGAAAATGTTTTGGAAAATTGTTCCAGATGTTCGTCTAGCCTCGTATTGTTCTTCAGCTGCTAAAGTCACCTTAAAGATACATTATGTAAGATTTAGAGAAAGAGCTAGCCATTCGTGCTATAATAATTTGAAAATAGATAATGTAAAATGAATAATTTGAAAATTTCATTCAAATTACTCTATTGCGAGCGAAGATATTAGCCTTTGAAGGTTTGACAAGACGTGTGCAATAATTTCACCACCATAATTGTTGTTCGAAGCTAAGTCTCGCTCCTCCATTTTTAGCTTAAATCAAAATATGGCTGAACTGTTCTAATCTATTTAATATCGGAGAAATCCGATGCCACCGAGAGTTGATTATGGCCTGGATAAGTTAATTAATGTTTAAGTAATAATTTAGAAAACATTTCAGGCCTAAAGAAAGACCTGCAATAGGCAGATTTAGCTCTTGTATAATATATGTTTAATATGATTAATACAATGACGTCATTATTAATGTAACGTCATAATGTATTTTTAACAAATGGAATTATTGAAATTAAATCAGGATAAAATATGTGTTAAATCACGGATACAAAAATAGCAACACCGTTCTGTACGACGGTAGTTGAAAACAATGTGCATAACTAATGAAAGAAAAACACAAAAAATACAACATAATCAACTTACCTAGCGAAATGATAAGGAATAGTTTCACGAGTTCCATTGTGTTACCATGGGATACAATCTGTAGATAGAAGAACAACCCACATAAACGTCTATATTCATTTAAAGTCTACATGTATAAATAAAATGAAATTGGGTTTAACGTCCTAATGTTTTGCCTACTCGGCTAATGAAGCTATAAGGAATAATGACACGAGCTCCGTTGTCTTACCATGGGATACTATCCGTAGATAGAGGCCTGAGCTCCATTGTGTTACCATGGGATACCATCTGTAGAGAGAAGAACAACACAAATAAAATTGTGTTTAACGCCTTACTGTTCCAACTGAACTAAGGAAAATAGAAAATACACACGAATGTTTATTGTCGGAAATACTATTGTAATAGTAAAACCACTCGACACAAACTAGGTCATTTTGGGACCCGGAGAAAACCCACGAGGTTGGACAGCTCCGAAATGGGCTAATCAAGACGGGCATACGCCATACAGTGTGCTATGAGAGAAATTTTGCCCGGACAGCGGCACTACGACCTACTCTTATATCGAATTCCAACTGTCAAAGGATCTTTTATGTGCACGCCAATATGTACACGGGACCTCGGTTTTTCGTCCCATCCGAACGACTAGACAGCTGTCCTTGTCAGGCCCTCTGTCCTGCATCACTGACAAGGGGGAACCACGCCGGAAAATCTGGAACGAAATTTCTCGGCCAATGCAGGGATCGAACACCCGACCTCCAGGCCAGTGAGCCAGCGTCTTACCCACTTAGCCAAAATGATAAGTTCCGATCAGTATTAACAAACATGCTGAATTAAAAATTCAATGAAATGTGCTCCTGGCTATATTATAAGACTGCCCCACTTTTTCGTGGACGAGCAGAATTGATACGCTTATTGAATCCATGAGTGGGGGGAGGGTGGGGGAGTGGTATCTTTGAGGGCTGAAAAGGACAGATCAGTTGGGTTGAAAGAAACTTTTGCCACCAACAATCATTGAATGAATCATAGACATACCAACTTCGCCAATATCAAAATCTACTTTTTTGAGATTCAAGTTTGAATATCGAAAAACGAGTTGCCCGTTTTTTGGAGATTCGCCAATATCATAAAACAAGGAGAAATATCAGTTTTATGTGAATCCACTGCTCAGGCATCCTCATTTATGATATTTTTAGTTCGTTTTAGAAAACGTTTTTAATCAAATGTGTTTTGGAGAAATTCTGTAGACATACATCCATCAAATCTGTTTTTTTGAAATTCACGCCTGAATATCGAAAAACAGGTAGAAAGAGTAGTTTTGATGTGAATCCACTGCTCAGGCATCCTCATTAATGATATCTTTAGTTCGTTTTACAAAACTGATTTAATCAAATGTGTTTTGGAGACATTCTGTCGATTTACATCCATTAAATCTACTTTTTTGAGATTCAAGTTTGAATATCGAAAAACGAGTAGCTCGTTTTTCAAGATTTCGCCAATATCAAAAAACAAGGAGAAATATCAGTTTTATGTGAATCCACTGCACAGGCATCGTCATTTATGATATCTTTAGTTCGTTTTAGAAAACGTATTTAATCAAATGTGTTTTGGAAAAATTCTGTAGATATACATCCATCAAATCTGCTTTTTTGAGATTCAAGTTTGAATAATAATAATAATAATAATAATAATTATAATTTATTGAACTTGTATAGCACCAAAATCCAGCTTGTAAAGCTACTCTGTGGCACTTGTATCACAAAATATATGATTATGAGTTCACAATATAAAACAATACAGATAGAAAATCATAAAAAAAATTAAACTGTTAGGTAAAACAAGATAATAGGATTTTAAAAAAATAAAATAGCAGGGTACAGATAAAATATAGATAGAAAATCATAACAAATTAAAATTAAACTATTCGGTAAAACAAATAAATAGCAGAGTACAGATAAAATATAAAACATTAAAGTAATTAGTAAAATAGATAAATTACGTGAAGGCTTTTTGGAAAAATTCTGTTCTTTTTAAAAACGTCGAAACTTGAACTGGTCCTTGTTTTAAAGGATATGTCGTTCCAAAGTTTCGGTGCTGCTACCGAAAAGGAGCGTTGGGCGAAGAGTGTTTTACTTTTTGGCATCTCTAGGAGGTGAAGATTTGAAGAACGATGTTGGCGTAAGGGTTTATAATGGTTTATAATGGTTAAGAAGATCTTTGAGATATACAGGCGATTCAGGACAGTTGATTGACAGATATGTAAGACACAAAATTTTGAAATCGTTGCGAAAAGAAACAGGGAGCCAGTGAACGAGTGGCGAGTTTTTCGACATTCGCCAATATCGAATAACGAGCTAGTTGTTTTTCATTATTCGCCAATATCGAAAAACGAAAATCGAGCTAACTTCACACTGCCGTTTGGAACAGAAAAATAGGACGTTACACCCGATTTCATTTCATTTCATTTTATTTTTTATAAGGTTACAATATCAAGTTGATGACCACAACTACTCTTTCATCAGTCTATTTAACCCCCCAAGGTGTATATCTCGCGAAATCTGCCGCTTTGTGTGTTCTGCTCTTAATTCAAGAGATGTTACCTGACAGGACCTTTCCGAATGTGTATTTAAATATCACTAAATATATTGAATGCTCTAATATATTCTATATGTATTCGTATAGATTCTAGTCATGTATATTTGTTCTTTCTTTTTGTTATAAGCGTACTTTCTAAATTACATTGTAACATTGAATTAGGTATCATGTTCGATTTAGGCATCCTTACACGTTGCCCTTGAATCAGTAGTGAACAAGTAAAAGTTTATCTATACTCATGTATATTTGTTCTTATGTGTTTTTTCTTTCATTTTGTAATTGTATGGGCGTTTTTATGCAAACTTACTTACTCAACATCAGATCTGACTGACAAGGGGACCCCCCCCCCCCCTAAAAAAAACCCAAAAAAAACAAATAAATAAATGGTTACAATATGCAGATGGAACAAAACAATTTTATACTTTCGTTTTTAATACATCACTAATCGGTGGAGAAGGTTTAAAAAAAGAAAATGACAAAAAAAGACAAAAGAAAAGATAGCATGACTTACCTTCATCTCCTTGTCCTCGCTTATCTCCGTTTATCCCTAGATATGACGAAGTAACAAACCTAACGAATTTCAGCCGTAACCAACCGGAGACAATCAATTACTTGCTGAATGGATTCACACGTCGGTATTACAGCAAATTGAGCCGTGCAATCGGGATTTTACTCCTGATATCTTCATAAATACTTTACTTGTGTATTTATATGAGAATAATATTTTGTTTGAATGGCATTTAGTGATTGAACTGGGAATAGTATTCCTGGATATATTGATGATGCGGTATTAATTCAATACTCAACCAAATCTTGTATTCAAAGTAGCTGAGTCTATAACTCAATATCTTCGACATTGAAAACATCAATTATTTGTCGATTTAAATCAGCACTGATGCTGTGATCTTACCGGGGAAAAGGTGGGCTTCTGATATCCAGTATGTAAAACAAAATAAACATTTTAATCTGGGGAAAAGGAATCGCGTGCCATAATGCGTTTCAGGGCCATTTGTAACAAGGGACTCAAAGAACGAGGCTAAACATATTCCACGAATTAGTTGTCAATTTTGATCTTACCGGGGAAAATATGAGCTTCTGATATCTAATATTTAATACAAAATAAACATTTTATCATTCGTGTACCATAATGCGTTTCAGCGCCATTTGTAACAAGGGAATCGAAGAACGAGTCATGTCATGACCCATATATTCTTATCTGGAGAGCATGCGCAAAAAATACTATCGGTGTAGACTAGAATAATTAGGTAATAGAGATTGCCATTCGAGTGAGACTTCTGGCTTATTTCGCCGAACGTAACTGATTAGAAATTAGAGTAAAAACCGAAACGACTGAATGTAAATCAGTTTATATACATTCATATATATTACATTATTATATGCGTTGCGACCCATATAGAGCGAAATCTGAGAATAGCTGAATTCGGTTTATTAAGAAGACAAAGTTTTGTCACGATAAAGTCGCCCTTTATGAATTAAGGGGGTGGATGTGGATGGCCGAATGGATAGCGCGAGCGCGTTGATTCATTTAGCAGTGGGATGAAACCGGAGGACCCGGGGAAAACCCACGAGGTTGGACAAGCGACCCTACTCCTTGTCACGTACAACCGGGGATTCGAAACCACGCCAGTTGACTCAATGACAGGCCTTATGATACAGCACGCACGTGCTAACCATTCGGCCATCCACCCCCACCCCCCACTGCTAAAGACCCCTACGCGCAAGCGAATTATTGAAACAAAATTGAACCATATTATGTTTGTCCCGAAATGACCTAGTCTGTGTCGAGTGGACGTTAAACCACAGTGTTCGTACCGTTTAGTTATTGATTCAAAGTCCTTATATTCTTATGTCTTTACTGTAACGTTTGTATACTAAAATTAACATTTGTATCTTAAAATCAATATTTAGTATACAAATGAGAAATTTATTTGAAAAACAAATCTTCAACGAAAAATCAATAAACTGAAATATATTTTTGTTTCAAAAAATGGCTTGAATGTAGGAGTTTTTAGAAATAAAATAAAATAAAATAAAAAGAAATGGGGTTTAACGTCCTAATGTTTTCGCGACTGGGCTAATGAAGATGGGGGATTCTTTAGAGGTTGGAGTAGTGTAGGTCCACGCCTTTAGAGGTTGAGGTAGTGTAGGTCCACGCCTTTAGAGGTTGGACTAGTGTAGGTCCACGCCTTTAGAGGTTAGAGTAGTGTAGGTCCACGCCTTTAGAGGTTGGGGTAGTGTAGGTCCACACCTTTAGAGGTTGAGGTAGTGTAGGTCCACGCCTTTAGAGGTTAGAGTAGTGTAGGTCCACGCCTTTAGAGGTTGAGGTAGTGTAGTTCCACGCCTTTAGAGGTTAGAGTAGTGTAGGTCCACGCCTTTAGAGGTTAGAGTAGTATAGGTCCACGCCTTTAGAGGTTAGAGTAGTGTAGGCCCACACCTGTAGAGGTTGGGGTAGTGTAGGTCCACACCTTTAGAGGTTAGAGTAGTGTAGGTCCACGCCTTTAGAGGTTGGAGTAGTGTAGGTCCACGCCTTTAGAGGTTAGAGTAGTGTAGGTCCACGCCTTTAGAGGTTAGAGTAGTATAGGTCCACGCCTTTAGAGGTTAGAGTAGTGTAGGTCCACGCCTTTAGAGGTTGGAGTAGTGTAGGTCCACACCTTTAGAGGTTAGAGTAGTGTCGGTCCAGGCCTTTAGATGTTGGAGTAGTGTAGGTCCACGGTTTTTTCTGAGTTTCAATTATGAAGAATATTACCTTGATTTATAGCGATATTGCCAATGTCAAATTCTCTCTCAGTGTATGGAGGTCACGTGGCTAAGTGGGTAAGACGCTGGCTCGCTAGCCTGGAGGTCGAGTGTTCGGTTCCTGCATTGGCCGAGAAAGTTCATCCAGAATTTGCGGCGTGTCCCCCCTTGTCAATGATGCAGGACGGAGGGCCTGACAAGGACAGCTGTCTAGTCATTCGGAT